CTGCTAAGGACCAGATGATTTTTATTATGTCCTGATATGTAAAACCATAGAACTCAAAGAGTTCTTTCTTTTTCACACAACTGTATCTGTCTGTCTGTCTGTCTGTCTTTTCTCGTTTTCTTAAGCATTATCCTCAGTGGAGGATAATTAAAAACGTCTCTTGGGAAAGATCAACTTGTTTTGCCCAATAAAATCAAATAAAATGCTTCATCTTTGATGTCTTGAGTCTAACCAGAAAATCAAAAAATTATCTAGTCATGAAATCTATCTTGCTAACAACTCTTGTGCAATGATGAAGTTAAAGTCTAGTTTTCATTTGTTATTCTTTTGTATAAATGAGATTAAACAGGAGAGGAACAAAAGTTGAATTCTATTTATTCAGGCTTCTCAGCATGAGATTAGCTTATCAGATACTTTAAGGGACATTGTGCCATGCTAAATATATGACTTGTTTTGTACACAGTAATTGAACTTCATTACAGATACTTAAAGTATTTCTATTTCACAATGACACCATGTGTGTGGAATCTACAATTTTGCACTAATATGCTGCATTCTGAATTTACTGTTGACAACAAGCACAGCATATGTTTGCACAATGGAAGTGCATGCACAATCGTTAGGATGATCCATGTGTTGGATGGGTGAGGTGTGGAAAAAAAATGCTTACATCTAAAATATTTGTCTTACCTGCAGACCATATTTTCAGCATTTTATCCCAGGAGCCACTGCAAAACTAATAAAAAGCACAGAATTTCAGTGAAAAGTAAATATTTGATTTGATCTGATTCCAGCCCAAACGAATATGCTTGTGTTCAAGCCAGATCTGCACTGGATCCAGGGAAAGCTGTTCTCTCCACTTGTCAAACCTGCCCTGGTAGAGTTGCTACAGAAGCAGAGAAGCTGATGCTCCAGCTATAAAGGCTGTATTCTCCCACATGTACTTCCAGACATTGTCCACGAGTGGCACCAAAATATCCCTAGTGATTCCAACAACGCTGAATTGTACAGAAATCTGGAGGGTCTTCTTGCTCTTAAAATCTAAAATCTCAATGCTGCCACGATGTTCCCCAACATCGCTGACCCCATTATTTTACTAGTCCAACTCTACCAGTCAAATTATGAGACTTTAGTGCCATCAACAAATAACGATACAATCAATAAAACATATGACAGGAATGCCTAGAAATCCAAGGATGAAAGAAAGGCAGGACATAAAGCCAGGATAGGTTATTCGTTTGTTAGATTTATATTCCTCCTGTCCTCCAGCTGCACCTAAACCTCTCCAATCCTAATCCATCACCTTTCGCAAACTCTAAAGATCTGTATTTCGTTAAAACCTCAGGAGCAAATGCATTTATGAGGGAAGGTCCTTGGCAGTTATAACTAACTGTTATTTAAAAACACCATCCCTAGGAGTCCTTGGGGGAAAAAGTCAATTAGAGGGCCCACGTAAGCCATCATCTTACAAGGAGACCATGTTATGAGCTTTTGCTCTGAATGTTCAAAAGAACGGCACTAGTGCTGACAACACATCTCTGTCTACTTTTTAGAACGCGAGGGCAGGGGTGGGAAGGCGGGTAACTTACTTTGGTCCTTGAACTATCCACAGCTACAGATTCTACACTTCCTGCGTGTCCCCTGCAGCAGTGAAGGGCCTTCACTTTGTTCTTTTCCACGTTCCACTCCCAGAGGATGATAGTCTGGTCCATAGACGCACTGAGCAGCAAGCATGACAAACCGTCTGAGGAGCACAGGCAAGAACAAAAATACTGTACACCCAGCAGCATTTTCTAAGCCAATTATCCAATTTCCCTCTACCCCACAATCTGGTAACAGGATAAAGGAGCAAAACTTTACAGCAAAACCATAATTAGATTTAGAGCTTTTAAAATGTGTAGATAACTCTCCCCTATACCGAGTGGAAATACAATCTATCAATTTTAGGGAACGTGAAGGTCACTGATAATCCAAAAGTACTGATTACTATTGTATGAACCAATACTCTTATACAAGTATTATTTGTCTGAAAAAGTAATACAAATATAGGGGACCCTGAGATTCATTTAACCTGCCCGTTAGGTCTTAGCCCTTAACGGATAACTTCTTGAATTGTGATTGTCAATGTTTCTAAGGGCCAAATCCACATGTTGCTTTAAAATCTGAAGACACCAGGCTGTTTTTTGTTTTACTCTCCAATAAGCATAGGGAACCCAGCTGGAAAGAGAGGGTATAATCCTTTGCTTTTTGCTGAAATGCCAACATGGATCAATCTTGCCAGTGCATACAATTTACACGACTAAGAGCGCAACACTTTCTGGCACTGTAAACTGGAGATGCAGCCCCACTGCCACATCCGCATCTGAGTCAGAAGCACGGCTGAAGGATAAAAGCCAGTCAAACACCCTCTTTTCTACTAAGGCTGGGCCATAACTGAGTCCTTTCACTAATCCTAGAGTAAAAATAAAGACACATTTTTATACATGTTAAAACAACATGTAGCTCATCCTTAAATAACATAGAAAAGACCCCCAGTTTCATGAGTTCTCTCTCAAAACATGAGAGGCTCGGAGAAACTCCATGACTTCAACTAAGCTTAAGTCTGAAGCCTCTTGCATTTACATTGTTCTTGCATGTAAATAGCACCAGAACAAAGGTAACATAGCCTAGCCAAGCCTGTGAGGGTTTGAATGCTGCAGATCTTTTTTCCAACCCCCCCCCTCCGCCAACAAATGTGAAAGAAGGAATTTCAAAGAAAACTGAAGATTTAACAACTGTTAAAGAGACAGCCATCGCTTGGTGGAAGCAAAACAGCAACAAAAACAGAGTCGACTATACTAAAAGTCTGTCACAAGATTTTGGAGAAACTCTATTTAGCTTAAGCCCTACAGACAGTGAATTTTACTTACCTTTTTTAACCCAAGCTATATCTTTCACCACATCGATGTGCCCAGCGAGCGTCATAATAGGTTTGCCTTCTACTGACCAAATCCGGGAAGTCTGATCATAGGAGCCAGTCAAGATCCTATGGGAGTCACAAGAAGAGACTGTTTTTGAAGACGTCCACAGCTCTTAATCAGACAGTTTCTCCTCTAAAAATTTCAAATATACCCACTGAACAGAACTTTCATATACTATGCAAAACCGTATTTTTGTAAATGTAATGCCAAGACATGACTTGAAATGAGTTATAAACACTGTGCATAGTTAAACTTTAAAGCAACCAATAAAGCAACCAAGATTCCCCAAAATCTTCTAGATAAATATAATTATTCCCCAATAATTCTTATCATCCCTAGCCATGCAGCAATCATTATAACTTGCTAAGTAAATATCACGTCAAGATGTATATGAGGTTCATATCTGCACTGTTCAGAAATTCCATATTTGTGATTTGTACCAAAAACAGTGTAAGCCAGGCCAAAACCTAACTAATACAAACTTGAAAATTTACTACCAATGCCACCCCATACCCATTCTCCCATTAATTTACTCAGCTTAAAGTACATCTCAATAATAAAAGAGAAAAACCAAAATAGAAAATCATGGCAGAAAAAGCAATCATGTTTTATTTGGGCCAATTGTTCTGTCAGAAAAAGAGTCACTAACCTAACAAGTATGTCTAATGTACCTTCTCAGTTTAAAGCAACGCACGGTACAGTCATTTTTAGGATCTGTCTGAAAAGAATGGGAGGAGCTCATCATATGTTAAGCTGATCCATGAATAGTCTAAAACTTTTAGTTTTCTATCCTCACTTTTGAGGCCTCAATCCTTTCTACGATAGCAGCTTTCTATCTGGAAAAACCTTCCTAACCTTATTGGTAGTGCCATTTAATTTCACTGCTTCGTACATTTATGAAGCAGGTATATATCATAGGAAAACCCCCCATGGAATACCCCATTTGCCTAAAACCCTGATGTATGGAAGGAAGATGGATTATGAGACTTTCTGAAAGAAACAATAATCCCTCAGAGAAATTAGTCTTAAAACTGATTAAAAAACTCTTGGCAAAGAGACAATGACAATACTAATATAGCTGATAAAAATTAAACACTTTTGGAATGAACATCTCATTCCTGAACTCTTGCTGCAGAAAAGAGAGAAAGGAGCAAGGAGACAAAGATGGATGAACTCACAGGAGGGTGAAGCACAGGAACCTAGTTACAGGAGAAGCAAGCTTTTATGTAGTACAACAAGCTGTACCACAAGCCAAAAAGAGCCAAAAGCAATTTTAAAAATCTCTTGCCATTCCTCTGTAGCTTCAATAGAACTGATCCAGTCATCATGTAGCATGCATTCTTCAGGCTGGGGTGCTGTATACTTCTCTACATACTCAATTTCTACTACATCTTCCTATACGTGGAAGAAAGGAAAAAAGAAAAAAGAAAAATCAACCACTGTGCTATAAAACAAAGTCCAGGAGACAGAGATTAAACCTACAATCTCACATCCCAGGAATGGGGAACACGTTGCTATAAATTCATATATTGCATAAACCCCAGCAAGCCTAGTCAGCACAGCCAGTGCTTAGGAGCACTGGGAGTTTTGATCACCACCATCTTGAAAATGACCAGTTCCCCAGCCTTGCTCCTGTCCCTTGCCCAGGCTCAATGGAACCATGGCATCATATTTCCAAATCACCGTGCCCATGGCCGTTCTCCCAGCTTCATCAACGACACTGGCATTCTGGGATCTAGTCCATTCCACGGTGGAAATTACTAATTCAGAATCAGAACAGTAGTATAAAGTTTCTACTACTCAAAAATAGAGTTAAATGTAAAAACTTAAAAAGACGGGTGTGATAACTTCTTACGGTGGCTTACTTTTTATTACGCTGTTTTGAGTTTGGGAAAAGTGATATAAATGTTGTTTGTATCCAGTTTTGTCTTCCATCAGCATAATGGATACAAGAGGATAAATCTGATTTTTTTTTCTACCCTCCAAATATGCTCCAGATAGCTGGGGGACACTTTGTATAAGTCTGGGAGGTGCTGAGTGTGGGCAGCTAGGAACTCTGCTGCTGGGCATGGACAATATACTCACATGAGACTGAATCTTACACTTTCAGAATAAAATACAGAGTCCTCACTTAACAACAGTAATTGGGACAGGGACAGTCCCTGGTTATTATCATTAAGCAAGGACTGCACAGGTCATGAAGTGAGGACCTCATGTGACCGCAACTTCCAAATTCCTGTCAGCTTCCCCATTGACTTTCCTTATGAGAAGCCGGCAGGGAAGGCCACAAATCACAATCACGTGACCATGAAAAGCTGCAACAGCTGGAAATCTGGGCCAGTTGCTGAGTGCCTGGATCACAGTTGCATGACTGTGGGGGGTGCCTGGATGGCCAGAACTTCCAGGACCAGTTACAAGCACTGCTTGTTCAGTGCCATCGCAAGTTCGAATGGTCACTGAACAAGTGGTCGTTAACTGAGGACCACCTGTAATATTTTAGTCTTGCACCTGTATGCTTGCAAGCTTGATGGTTTATGTCATCATTAGAAAAGGCATCATTAGAAGTGGCTACCAATGTACCTATTAATGTAAGTGAATACTGGTTGACACTATATATCTCAAAAGCCTACAGTGCATGAAACAGAGATTAAAAACCAATAAATATGCACCATGCTTATCCCCACTCTACCCATTACAGTCTCCCCTATGGCTGCCAGGAAGAAAGTTCCACTGCATTTTGAAAAATACAATTCTGAGAAATGTTAAAAATTCATAGCATTCACCTCTTCCTTCAAAAAACATTAAAATGGCTTACTGTTGAAATATTTTCCATTTCCATGTGTTTGACCAGAGACATTCGCAAAAACTGTCCCTTGACAAGGAAGTCAAATTCCACATATTTGTGGCCCGCTAGAAGCAAATCACAGATATTGGGTTACATAAGTTACATCTTACATTAAGAGCAGATTTGGTGATGTCTAAGATATAGTCTCTCTTTCATTATTCTTAAATAGCTGTATTTCCTTTAACAAGTTTGCTCTCCAGACCACTAGCAATATTACCAGTACAGATCACATATTCCATAAATTGGAATGTAGCATCTTGTTTTTTTTCCAATCATATGTTTTGCTAGACCCTACAAAATATATTACTTGCCCTGGTTTTCTTTGTGAAGGCAGTCATGAGAACAAAACTGAGTTATTATTGCGGACAATCTGGCTTTATTCCAAAGCTGCCTAGATAAAAATTTCTCTGTGTAAATAAGTATCCAGAGAACGAGAGATTTTTTTTTTCAATCTGCTCTCCTTTGAAGCAAATGAACATTCAACCATTAGTAAATAGTACTGTATTTTGAATGGAGTACCCAGGCTGACATTACTACCTCTCAGCCTAATCTATTTTTCTAAATTGTAGGATGGGAAACTCCATATGCACTGTCCTGGGTTGGGGAAATAAAGTATAGAGAGATCAACTGCTCAACAATCCATCATAATTTAGTGCTCAGATTACATTATAAACATTTCTAATTTGTTTGATTAAATAATACTCAGTCTGAAAAATCTATAGTAAAGCAATTAGTAATCAAAATAATTTAAGTCTGCATAATTATAAATAAAAGTGATTAGTCATATGTTTTTGATATCTGATTTTACAATATCCAAGAGGGTTAGAATCTATATTAATGGAACTACATCCCAAATATAAACATACCATTTTTAGCTTCCAACAATTTGTTGATAACATTACTGAGGTCAGCAACTTCAGAAGTAGCTGGGATAGAAAAAGGAACATCATCTACTGTGTATCTATAGAGGGAAAAGAATCACATATTTAAAAAACAGATGGCATCTCAGACCTTCAGCTCTCTCAGGGAAAAATATAGTTAATAATTTGGGTTTTCAAGACTCTCACTGCTCACTGAGCAAACAAACAGGGAGAAATAACAGGAGTTTGTCAGAAGAATTCCACAGGACGAAGAGGAAAGTGACTCCAAAGCCACGTGTTCTGAATGATCGTGGGCTTGGCTGTGAGCCACAAAAACAGTGATCTCCTGAATGGCTTCTGTCTGCAAGAGCTATGGAGACCCACTGATTGCCAGTGTGGGTGACTGACTGACTACTTCCTATAGAGTAACCAGGAACTCTAAGAGGAATATAATGCAGCCAGGTTCCAGAAAGAGCCAGGCTCCAGGCCATTTCCCAGGAAAATCTGTCCCACTTTGTCCTTAAGTGAGAAGATCTGAGTAGAGAACAAGGAGAAATAAAAGCCCTTCTGCTGGTGGTGCTCTTAAAGGCCAAAGCAAAGATTGATGGATAGAATCTGCATTTGTGATTTGCAATACCTGTAGCATATTTGTCTTCCTGCCTGAATAAAGCATATACTTACAGTCTACCTCACAGGGCACCACAATGGCTTTTTAATCATTATAACCAATTCAGAGAAACCAAGTTCAAATAAATGGTAGAAATGAGGGCATAGGAAAGAGAAGGCTTTCACACATGCATAACTATACAGTTCTAGCGTGTTCTCCAGCTAAGCTTTATTGCAGAGATAGGCAACTTTGTGCCCTCCACGTGTTTTGGACTAAAGTATTAGATATGTTCGTTGCCTTGAGTTATTTATAATAATATAGTCAATATAAAAAATCTAAATCTAAAAAAAATCTAAAGCTTCTACAATTCCTTGTCATTGGCTATATAAGCTGAATTTGATGGGAACAGAAAATGCAGCTGTTTGGAGGGCACTAAACTGCCTATACACGTGTGATTGTATTTCACTGGGCATACTCTCAGGAAACACATACACACAGAGAGAGGGACATGACTAAGACCAAAATCTTTATGAAGAAATTGTATCCTTATCCATAAAGTAACCTCCACAATGCAATGAGGCTTACTACAGTAGATGGTTACACTCATATAGCTGGTCTGCAGAGGCTACAAACGGGGTAATAATTTTACACTTTCTTTTTATTTCTATTACACAATTTCTCCCATAGGAAAGAGACTCAGTTTTTGGGCACCACCCTCTACATACAACAGGATCCCCACAAGACGTAAGGAAGGTGCGGTTGTTTCCATCCGCTAGGGAACTGCGCAGGCAGAAAGAAGAAAGTCTGCACACGCCTCCCCGGTCTCGGTCTCGTCTGCTTCCCTTCCTTGGTTTGATCACGGAACAAGAACTCCTGCCCACAGGAACTCCTCCGCACACAGACTGAGGTGGTGGCTTACGGGCTATCCAGTCAGCGTTGACTGCAACAAGCAGCACTTCGACATCCCCCCGTTTCTGTTTCAATTAAATCTCTATGGCTACCAGTACTTAGCAAACGAGCTGACTGCCACCCAAAGCAGCGGCAGCCGATACACAGTGTCGCTCCCTGAAATCCTGGACGGCGGGTCTCTGCCATCACTCGAATTACGTTTGGGCTTCCCCCCAACGAAGGGCTGCGTGGCCGTTCAAAGCCAAACTGCCTAAGTTATCTTCAACCGCCACAGACACCAATGAAAGCCCGTTTAGAAACGTTTCAGAAGAAGAAGGACGTTTGCAAAGCCCAGATGCGCTCAGGCTACGAAGAGCGGCCCGTTCTCAGCCGCGATCCTGGAGACCCCCCGCTCAGCTGGGCTGCTTTGGTGGGAACGCCGTCCCGCCTCCGTCTCAGCGCTGATTCGGATCAAGCTTTATTTCCCTTTCTGGCAAGAAGCAGGGGGAGGGAGCCCACCCTAACCCGGCGGTCGTCCCAAGGAGCGACCCTTGAAAAGTTACAGCTCCAGCCCCCTTCGCCGAGTCTTTCCCCTCCCCACTCACTTCGTGTCGTTGGTGAAGAAGCGAGCTTGAAGTCGCGCCATAGCAGGGACTCCGGCCGGCCAGCCCTGCCGCCCGCCGAGACGCCCGACCTCGCCGAACCCGAAGCTCCCACGTGGCTGAGAGTCCCCCGCTCCCAGCCCTGCGGGGCTCATGGATAGCTCAGGGAGCGATTAGTAAGGACTGCTCTTAAAGGTCACAACCCAGCCGCGGACTTCTTCCCACGAGGAGGGATGAGGGGCCTGAGCCGGGAGGCGTTTTCTCCGCCGGTGCTGCACGAGCCTGGTTTCCCCCCCTCTTCGGTAACCCACGGCAGAAGTGGCGCCCCCTCTTGCAAGCCCGGGCTTCTGCAGCGTTTATTTTTTGCGAAACCCCGAATGACGCTCCGACCTTCTGCAACGGTGTTCGGAGGGGCTCTGCTGAAGCCCGTGCAGCACAGTTCCAGCCAGAGGGTGGAATTAGGAGAGCTGAACTCCAGCCCATCGGAAGGGCAGCAGGCTCGATAAGGCTGGCTTAATTTTCTGGCGCAGCACGGGTTTCCCAGCTACTGTTCGGGGTGCGCCCCCCCCTTTCATTATTTTGTTAGCTGATTATCATTTCAGAATTAAGCGTAAGAAAGCCGTTTCAGGGAATATGGGAATTCCCAACTGTGAAGAATCAGGTTGTTCTAAGTTTACCGCGCAATTTTAGGCGTCTTTACTCAGAAGTAAATCCCTCTGTAGTCAGTGCGGCTTCCATCGAACTGAAGTTTAAACCGGGCACCCGATTTCTTCCGCTGAAGAAGAAGAAGAGCTGAACAGAACGTATATTACGTGCAACAGAACAAAATGAGTGAGAGGCCAGCCGTTTTAAACTACAGTTCCCATGATGCAACTCGCGACCATATCGTACTTTCGAGCAGCGATTTCAGCGCCTGCCTTGCGCGCTATTTTTATCCGGGACGGAAAGCGGTGACTTACTATGTAATAAATTATACTGAGCATATAAACTACGGATTGCAGGCTGCGTTCGATTGATTCCTCTGCGGGCAGGATGAAAATATTGGAAACAGAAATCCGTTTTAAAATTAGAGCTTTTGGATATCTGCCTATTATATGGTTTTGGAATTCATAGCTCGCTTCAAGTGTATTATAACAGTGTGTATCGGCGCCGGACAGCATTCCAAACGTTTTGTTCATTGCGTCTTAAAAAAAAGAACAAACTTGCAATCTCAGCCTGCGACCGTCAAGTGTGCTTCTAAATCTCTCAAAAATTAATTTCCGGCCCAGAACTGAAATTTGCTATTTTCTCCCTGGAAATCATATAAAATATCTTATTCATAAAATTGTGTATGTTCATTTGAACAGAAAGTGGAATCTTGGTGATAGTGCCAGTTGGATAGACAGGAATGAGAATCGCTAGGGATATGGAATATTGAATTTCGAGAATGCTTATGCTCTAGTTTGCTTATAGCCCCAATGTTTAACGAATTGATCAGAGTATTAATCGACTCAAACCTTTTGAAAGATTAAAACGAGCTGTTTAAGTTCGTTGAGTAGTTTTAATAATCAATGCTTATTAACTTGCAGTTGCCAACGACTACCTTAAGAAATAATCTACGGCACATACGAGCCGCATTGAGAAAAAAAAATATTCTGCCTGACAACGTTTACTTCTTTATTTAAACGCCACTTGAATATATCAGTCAGAAGAAAGCCTAGAGCGGAGTCTACTGTGATGACTTTCCCTGATTGATCCAGCCACATATTGAAGGCTAAACCTCTTCTGTAGTATCTTTTATAAAAACTCTTCCAAAAAGCTGGGAACAAAAAAAAAAAACCCGTGAAGATCCGTTTTTGATTTATTAATGGCTCTAAATTTCCTCCGCTGATGTCCTAAAGCTATCGGAACCGGAAAAATTAGAAGCACGTGGCTTAAAAAAAAAAAAAGGTCCTCGGACTAACGATCACCATCAATCCATTTCCGGAAAGTACGGTGTCCCACTAGGCTACTTCGAAAAGCGTTCGCCTGTTGCTAGCACTGCGCCTGCGCCGTACGAGTGGCTGCGCGCTCGCTAGCTCCAAGACGGGGTTGGGTAGACTCGCTTTGAATTTCCTCTCCTCGCTGGCCCCCGCCCTCCGCCGCCCTGGGTGCTGCGTCCGGGCTCCGTCGCGCGCTCTGCCGCTGCCCGCCTCCTCTTCCCCCGCCCCTTCGGGGGGGCGTTGCCTGGCCAGGCCGCCGCGCGCGGGGGCGGAAGGCTCGCTCTCGTGGGCTTAACTCCCAGCTTGCTTGGGTGGAGGGGCGGGCGATGTCGAATTTTGCTCACTCGAGAGACGGACAGAAGAGTGGGTTTGGGGGGCGGGAGGAGGGAGACGGGGACCCAGGGACCCAGGTTATAGGATTTGCTAGTCATCTGGGGTGGGCGGAGAGTTGACAACGGATTAGCCTTCCTCTCTTCTGTAATCAGGTATCTGCCGGTCTTGGATTACAATTCCCATTATCCCCAGTCGCCAAGTTGTTGGAATGCCTAAAGCTGGGCGGCGCTTTTGAAAAATTAGAGAAAGCAGATTGCATACTACCGATGCAGTGTTGCGGTGCAGTTTACAATAATTTAAGAGGCAAGCCTAAGGGTCAGTTTGCTGAAAAGGAGCCCCACTGAGTAGAAGAGGATTTCTGTTTAACTAAACATGCATATGATTGTACTATTTGCAAATTTGGATGATGCTGAAAATAAATTATGGCGGCTGAATTAAAGTTTAATCATAAGTGCATTTACTCAGAGATGTGGACATCATTCTAAGTGTAAACAATGCACAGGGGTTGCAGAGGACTGTTAAAATGCTGAATTTCTTAGGCTGTAACTGGAAACTTAAAGTGTATATTCTTATGACTCCGTTACGACATTGATAGTTGCATGTGGAAACTATCAGCAGATCTTCTAACATTCTTTACAGCTTTGCTTGTTCGTTTTTAAAAATTTGTAGTTTGTAAGCATATCAAAAATGTTCACGCACTAGATGGATGCTTAGTTCTGATGCCACTATTCAGCTCTCTAATATACTTTGCTGACTGAATCACTGCTTTCCAATCTCTGGTCTGGGGAGCAAAGGCATCGCAAAAGGATTGAAAATGGTCCCAAATCAGTTCTTTAAAAATGCTATAATTTCAGGCAGGAATGCCAAAAACTTGCAAGAGTTGACTTTAACTTAACATTTGTAAAGTTAATTTGTGGTTCTGTGGATGTGGTCCTATATGCCATGGTGATCACAGGTGCTGAGCTGCATCTCCTGGCTTATGTGGTTATCATCTTAAGCTTTTGAGAACCATGTTGTAGTCTCTAGAAAGGAAGACACTGGGAACTGCTGGTTAGGCTGGTGAATGAACTGCTGTTTTAAAGAACAGAACAATGTATCTTCATAGATCTTCATATTCTTGTTTCAGTTACTTTGTTTTGTCAAATAGAGAAAACTCTCCCTTATAAATTAGGTATTTATCCAAGATTGGCAATATTTTAGATTCCGCTGGAATGTGACAGTTTCCTGGCTATGTTGAAAGCCTTTTATGATTGGCTGCTGTGTGCTTTTATTTTTTTGTGTGCATTTTATTTTTTGGGTTCATTTTAGTCATAAAATGTATATATTTTTTACTTATCTTAAAGTTGTGCACCCCCCAGAGTCATGTATGTGAGATAGGTGCTCATATAATTTGAATAAATAAAAATGTAAACATATAAAGCAGAGTCCATTTTCTGTAGTAGGATGTTATAAAAGCTTCTGAGTAGAGATGTGACCGATCTATTCACTCTGTTTAAAAGAATAAAAGCTTAAACAATTACCACATAGTGCCACTATTTGAGGAAAAAACAACTCTGATCTGGATTGTAGTTGGAAAAACTGCAGTGTTCGCCTTTTATTTGTTTCTGATCAACCAGTATTTTTTGCTTTAAATCTTATACCTGATATTTTATGAGTTTGAAATTTAAAGAAAAAAGCCAAAGTTTCTATGATTCAGGTGAGGACTTGTGGCCATGAATTGGCCATTTTAGGATTTTAGTTCTGTGAGAACTGTCTTAATCTTGGGAAAGACAGTTGGGATTTAAACCAAATCCTAAACAAGTCTGTTGAAAATAAGTCCTACAAGTGACAAGTGGTGCTTTTCCTCAATAAGCAAATATATTACTACAGTTTGAGTCACTTATTTTAAGGGGGAGTTGGCTTTTGGCTCAAATATGTAGTCTAGCTGGAAAATAATATATAGATATTCCTTGCTTAACAACTGCAATTGGGACCAGCAACTCCATTGCTAAGCGACATGGCCATTAAGTGAAACATGTGAATCGTGATTGATTTATGTCAGTTCTGCTACAGTTGTCAAGCAAATCACCCATGGCTGTTAAACAATGTCACGTGACTGCAACTTGCGACTTCCTGCTGGCTTCCCCATTGACTTTGGTTGCAAGAAGCTGGCTGTGAAGATCGCAAATGGCAATCACATGACCGTGGGATGTTGTGACCATCATAAATGCACACTGACTGCCAAGAACCTGAATCGTGATCACATGACCATGGGGGTGCTGCAACCATTGTAAGTTCAAGGGCCAGTGATAAACCAACTTTTTCAGCATTGTAAGTCTGAATGATTGTTAAACAGGGCAGTCGTTAACCGAAGACTACTTGTAGTCACCATAAAGAAAGACAGCCGTGAATTTCAGACATTCTTATTGCTTTCTTCCATTATTTTTCAGCAAATCTAAGATGATTCTTCCATTTTATAGGTAAATGATTTGAGAAAATTGTCTTTTTTTCAGGTTGAATCCAAATAATGGGTTCACTAAAAGGGAGAACAAAGAGTTTTGAAGAACTGACAAAGACACCTAATGATCCACTATTGTTCTTGGGTGGCCACTTTCCTAGTGTCCTAACAAATCAATGCAGTGAGCAATAGCTTCTTGAAATATTATAGGATTCAGACAAGTATGCATTGTTTATCTTATTGATATTGTAAATTTATTCTACATATAAATAAGATAATGCATTAGCAATATCTTTTTCAGACTGGGTGAACATAGGGTTAATATAAACTGTGGCAAAGGACTTAGGTGTACAAGAACTTAAAGTCCCTTGGTGAAGGGAAAGCTCTTTGGAGAAAGAGTCTGAGTTGCACGCAGGCTTGAACCTTAGGAAAGTAAGTCCTGTAGTCAAGTGCCTTTTAAAGGCAATTTGAAGGGGAACCCTGGTGCCAGCTTGGAATGATTCACTAATCTCCCAGTGGAACCATGGTCTATAGTTCCAGTTATGGCAACTACAAAATGACAAATATTACCTTTGCAGTCAATCACCAGTCAATGCAACAAACAAAGTTACAAAGAAACTACTAATAAGAAACAAATATAAAACACTTTATCAAACTAGAGGATGTGAGGACCATACAAGCTATCTGACATAAATTACATGGCTGAGGCCTAATATCAAATTATTACTAATATTGGGAAACAAAGTAAATGTTGCTTTCCATCAGGAATACATTTAGACATACTTGTATAATTAGAGTGAATCAACTAATCTTTGATACTTACAAAGGGAGCAAAAACAAGGCAATTGAGAGTCTGGAAGATCTGGTAGATTTGGGAAGCACCGCAGCCTGCTGGATGTCAGCTGAGATTG